GATGAATCTGCTTGACAGGAAAGAAGAAAATCAAGTTGGAGACTTCGAGCTAGCGTGGATGATGTGGTTTTACTACAACAGAAATCCGAACGGTGATGCAAAATCCAGGAAAACAAGAACGTGTGCCCCGGACGAGATTGAACATTTTTCTTGGTATGTGTCGAGTTCCAGTCTTCGAGTTAGAGGAGCAACAATTACCGAGAGGACCGCAATAAAAACACAAATTGTAATGCCTTGGAGAAGTAGCAACTGTTTTTCCTTAGCACTTGAACAATGCAAAAGGTTTATGATACATCATTCATACATAACCAAAGACAAGAAACTTATTCTTTTATCTAGGCAGAGGCCTAGGTCAAATCAGCGTCAATTTTTGGAAGCTAACAAGATAATCTAGTGAAAAGTCGAAGCCTGAAATCTCGCCGGAAATCTGTAACAACAAAGAAAAGATAAGACTGGTTTCACAAAGTCTAGAGATGATAACAGAGTATCAACAATGCAACGAAATCGTGATGTATGTGATCCCCAACTTCCCTCCATTTTCTGCATTTCACTGCAGCCCAAACTTACTCACCTGCACGAAGAAAACATAATAAGTACACCAATTATAACTGCAGACCCTCTTCATTTACATGCAACATTGAACATATCACGACACAGAAATTTTGGATTCCATGTCAAGCAAAAAATTTAACAATCCATGTTAAATCTGCATCAAGAGTGATGCTAGCAAAGCTCAGTATTCATGTCATTCAACAGATTCGACTTAAATGTTCAAAACAAAATGAAGGTTTCAGCAAGACTGCGCAAGCAACCTTCTTAGCTCCATAACCCAAATCCAAACTCAAAATCAACTGAGTAGATTGAGGAGAATGACAGACTTCAAGATCATACCAAGAGGACCGAACACCAGAATGCATTTATACACAATATTCTCATGCTCTATGCTTTCTTAAGTTGAACCATTACCAATTTGTTTATGATAATTCTGTTTCCGAAAGTTACTGTAGATCTACCAAGTCAAAGATGACTCAACTTGCTCAGACCTTTCAATGAACTGTCCAAAAACTTAGAAGCTAGCAAATCCAACATGACATAGAAAGCCGTGCAAAATGGATAAAAGACATTATATGCAAAAAATCATAATGGAAAAAATCCCCATAACGCAATAAAGGAAGTTGCAGGGGTAAATCTTCCGAAGTTTGTAGATTCATGTCTTTGGTTTGGTATATACATGTTTACTACCTAAATCGAAGTAACCCTCACCAGGTAGCAAATATACATCAGAATTGGATTAGGCATTCTATCAATTTTCAAAAACTCAAGTACTGATAAGCAATTGTTCCAGCTGAAAGTCTCGATTCGACTCAAGCCTCAAACTAAGAAACTAAAGACCATAGCTACACCTACACCTATTAGGTTTCACATTTCAGAAATTGAGCTGTTTCCTAGTGTTTTCTGTCTGAATAAAACTCCAACCTAAAGCCCTAAATCATATGCCTCACCAGAATCAAAAAACGAGAACCCGAGTCTTAATTCACAGCGAAAACGAGCAAATGGAATCGAAAAGCCCCAAACTTGAACAAAATTTCACCCCAAAAACTGAACTTTCAAATCCAAACAATCAAAAATTGCAATCAGATTATCAAATTGGGAGCTCACAACGCAAGAAACAGTACCTGAAACCGATCACTCGGATTCCACGGGCTCCGGCTTCGGACCTGAAATTCCCAAAAACAAAAGCAAAATGTCAATTAATTGAGAAAACTGACAAACGACGGGAAAAGATAGGGTACGGTGGCGGACCATGGAACTCGTAAGGACGGTGGTCCTTCCCCCAACCGATGCCGCGAGTGGACTCGAGGTACTGGTGGACGAGGTGGCGGCACTTCTGGAGGTGGTTGACGCCTTCGATGCGGTAGCACCATCGGAGCTTCTCCCTGATGATCTTGGCCTTCTCGATGTCGATCCACTTCTCCCGCACCAAGTGCTCCCTCATCTCAAGCATCGCCACCGGGTCCTTGTACGGATTCGCCGGATCAAAGTCGTCCGGCGGCGACTCGTCGAAGTCCACCACTCCCTTCTTCCGCCCCATTTTTCTCTCGCACTTTTGGATTGCTCACTCCCTCTCTCCCTCTCTCCCTCTCTCCCTCCGTGTTCTGGCTTTGATTTTCGCAGCTCTGCAGCTGCTTCAGGTTGTTGAGCCTTTGGGTATTTGGGCTTACGATTTATCAGGCTCTGGTTTTGGGCTCATCTCCTTTGATAAAGCACTAGGCCCATTTGGGTTACTTTTGTAGTAAGAAAACGGGTTTGTCTTCAACATCTTATTAATTAGTTTAGCAAGTTGACAAAAAATAGTGTTTCAATAACTCAATCATGGCCAACTATTTCTTGCTAGTAAGTAGTCTGGACTATTGAAGAAAAATTGGTAAGAAAACATGTTCACTTCGAAGTGTATTTCCGTGTTAGTGATTTGCCCACTCTATTTTTATCCCTAAGCACCTCTTTTTTTTTTTTTTTTTTTTTTTTTTTTTTTTTTTGGAAACAGCACCTCTTTTTATTTGAACTTGAATACAAGTGATTAGGTATACTTCCTTAGTCAACTGGTCTAACATGCAACTGCCTAATTAAGAGAAACAGAGGAAAAAAAAGTGCAAAAGAAGAAATGAGTATGACAATCAGTATTTGTTTCTCCTTCTAATAGGCTTAAAATTTATGTGATGGTTCGAGAGCAACTCAAAATACTATTCATATCTTTCTTCGACATTTGCGATACACAAAAATGTTATGGCCGGAGCTGTTTATCTAGCATCCAAGTGCTTCCTAATGCAACTCCTCGAACGAGTACTTCACCAAAAAACACTTTTATGATAAAAAATAAAAATATGTAGTCAAAAATAATTTTAGTTGTCAAAAAACTACTTTTAACTAGGGTTGGGTATGGTCTGGATCGAGCCCAAATCTAGAGGAACCGGACCTACCTATTTTAAAATGTAACGGGCCAGGTAGAGGGATTTTGAGTTTGAGAACCGGACCTAACCCTGACTGTTTGACACGGGTCGGTTCAGGGCAGGTCCATGAGACCAATTACTTTTTGTTTTTAATTTTTTTTTTTTCCGGTTTTGGGTATACTGCCAGTGTCTTTTTTCTTTCTCCTCTCTCTCTCTCTATCTCTCTATCTCTCTCCTTCCTCTTCCCTATTCCAAATGAAAAACTGAAGCAATCACCATTTCCCAGTAATTGTGTCACCTGGGGCTTTGCCATCGTCGATGTCTTCAACTTTAATCGTCTTTCTGTCTGCAATTTCAATCGTCTCTCTGTTTGCAATTTTAATCGGCCTCAACGCTGCCGCTTCATGATTTGGTGACAGGTCTCCACCTTTTCCCAATCTCTAACTCCTTCACACTTTCTTGTATTTAGTTCGTCGGATCTAATAGTTTCTCGACTTGCAGGTGTTGAGAGGCGATGGATCTAAGATATTGTCAACATCTTGGACTCGGGACTTGGGAGGGAAGGAGAAGGAGTCGAAGAGGCTTTCGAGTTGGTAACTGAAATGGTTGATTAAGGAAGGTTGGGAAGACGGGGTTTGTTGACCAGAGGTCGTTTTGGTGAATCGATGATGGTCTAAGTTTGGTGATGTCATCAAGGAGATGAATGGGAAAAGATGAGCCGAGTGCGAGTCTGGGAGATGAGGGAGAGACTAGGTCGCTTGGAGAAACAAGTCCAATCCAATGAGTGAGATTGGATCGATGATTGTTGATCATTCCATTTTAGAAACGGGCGAGTTCGAGGCCCCGTAATTCTAAGGATTTGGACACGGCTTCGCCCTATAAATAACACCACCCGGGCCCGCCCCGACCCGTTTCTTCTATAAAAAAAAAAAAAAGACCTGCCCCATACCCACGTATACTCGTCCCGACCCGTGAATCCTTGATCCGTTTGCCCACCCTTACTTTTAACCCTTCCAAACGCAATACCAAACAAATCCTTAACTCATAGGCCAACTAATTTCATGGGCCAAGGATGGATTTGGGCCACGGAATTGAAAATTCAAGACCAATTTTAACCTGACATTGACGACCACCAATAGGTAGCACAGAAGACGGAGGGGTGGAGAGTTGTACTCCTAATTTCGCGCACTGTTTTCTTAACTCTCATGGAAGATCAACCGTGCACGGAAACTACTAGGAAACCAAAATACTACAAACAATAAACATCTGAACAAAACATGATTAAAAGTAAAAATAATTAAAGTAAATGATAAAAAAAAATTTGGTCTAACCTTAATCAACGCCGCATTAGCTTGACGTCTCTTTGAGTTCTCTCAGGTGGGATTCTGTGTCTTTTCTTTAATTCACATTTTCCTGGATTTCCTTCGCTGCATTTTGATCACGATGATCAACATTTGTTCATGTGTGTATGAATAGTTACGGCCGTTTGATGCCCATTTTGTTTTTACGTTTCATATGAACAGCTAAAGGCATGCAGCATGCTCGATAACCAATTCGTTTTTAGGTTTCGATATGTATAGCTAAAAGCGTCAGTTTGATAACCATTTTGATTTTCGTAACCATGCTTCTGGGTTGTTCCATTCTCCGCTTTCTCTTTACATGCATACATACGTTCTCTTGTAGCTAATGTGAAGCTCGGGCAAATTGTCTCTCACATTTTGTTTTTGCTTTTTTTTATATCCGGTTTTCGAAGTTGTAACCAGATGTTCGTAAAGTTTTTCGTTTCTTTTGAATGCAGTAAGCAGTGACTTGGGGCATGACCTCTACAATTTGAGGTGAAATATGAAATGAATACATATTTATATATATGTTTGTGTGTGTATATTATTGCTGGTGCAATCCCTCCTTAATCTTCATCACCTTTCGTTTGGAACACGATAGCATTTCTCCTACGTGGAGATTGTTTGTTCACTTTACGCAGTTCATTGTTAGTACCCTTACACCATTAATGTGTTTCAAATTGGCAGGGTTGCTCTTTTTAAACAGAGGAATAATGTTGTTTAGCATGAGTTTTAGTTGAGCTCCGAAGCTAGACGCCACTCCCAAGTAGCTGATCATGGATTCCACATCGAATTACAGCAGAAAAGGAAATGGAGGAACCAGCAGCTCAAGTGTTCCTGCTACCGGGAATAGTTTCGAACAAGCTGTAAATCGCAATCGTGAGACTGAAGGTGAGGATATCTAGCCATCTCCATTTGTTACTGACATACTTCTCCAATGCGAGTCAACGATCTAAAATTTTCGCGTTTTGGAAATTTATTTTGCAGGGAAGCAGAGAGCGTACTTAGTGGAGTGGTTGAATAGTTTAGTTCCTAATCTAGGTTTACCAACAAATGCTTCGTATGAGGACTTGAGATCTTGCTTGATTGATGGAACCGTTTTATGTCGGATGTTGAACAGGCTTAGACCCGGTCTTGTTAATGAGGTTAGTTGATAACTTGATAGGCTTTCCCCACCTGCTTTTGTACTTGAAGAGTTATTCGACAAGTTGGTGATCGAATGTCTGGTTTTATAACTTCTATGTTCATAGAATTCGAGGTCACCCACAGAAAATGTTGCAAGGTTTCTGGCAGCTATGGATGCATCAGGGCTGCCGAAGTTTGATATGTCCGACCTAGAGAAGGTATCTATCGATGTAATTCGTATGCATACAGCTCCCCTATCAAATTAAACAATTTCTATACGTTTGCTGACATTCAAATATTATGCAGGGGTCTATGAAGACTGTCACCGACTGTCTTTTAACACTTAAAGCAAAATTTATGCCAAATGTTACGGGAGATGGTATTACTATAACTAGTCCGACGACTAAATCTGGCAGCCAATCTTCCCGCTTCCAGCTTTCTCCATTATCCGTGGATGAGAGGCGGAAGGTCCTGTCTGAGTCAAAATTTCAGCGCGCATTGCATAGTTCTGTTATGGCAGGTCTGGCCATTGTCTTGTACAGATCAAACGTTATTTTTGACAATGTACTTTTGTTTGTTTTAGTTGATTAACTTTTACATGATGTTTTCATCATTCAAACAGTGGGTGTTTGATGCGAATTTACCTTCTGCAGAGACATCGCCTTCACGAATGCATCATGTTGGGCATAAGTTCCACGAGGTGTTTCAGTTGAAGCAAGGAGGTTACACGGATCTTCCTGCCGCAAAAATTTCAGAAATGATGAAACCGAACAGTTTAGATGTAAGTCATCAATGGACCCTGAAACTGAATCAGGTCTTCCTTTTGTGATCTCTTCAGTTTAATGTATTTTTAATGCACTTCAGCATCTCTTGCTGCAGAACGCTCCAACGCAGTCACTTCTGAGTGTCGTAAATGGAATCCTTGATGAAAATGTTGAAAGAAAGAATGGTGAAATACCTCATGTATGGAAATCCGAAAGCACATGATTGTTAAAAAATAAGTTCATCACGTACAATATTCTAGAAATATAGAGTTGAAATCTGCTCTTACACATTGCGTTTGTGGCACAGCGTGTGTCTTGCCTTCTGCGAAGAGTTGTCCAGGAGATTGAGCGGCGAATATCAACTCAGGCGGAGCATTTAAGAACTGTAATATGCTTTTATGAATACTTTTCACTGATAGCCTTATTAAGAAGTGCATTGGGTTAATTTTTTTTTTTTTTATGGTTTTGTGCAGCAAAACAACCTTTTTAAGGCTCGTGAAGAGAAATACCAGTCCAGAATCAGAGTGCTTGAAACACTTGCATCCGGAACCAGTGAGGAAAGTGAGGTATGAAACATTTTTCGAAAGATTAGATCAGGAGTTGACAGCTTCTCATAAAAATGTTTCAATGTGGTACCGATGTCTTATTTTCAAAGTGTGAATTTTCTGGTACAGCTTATGATGAACCATCTTCAGCAAATAAAGGTATATTTTGCAGACAATAAAAGACATATTGCCGGTGTTTAAGTGTTTAAGCAGTCAAAGAATACGTATAAATTTACTTGCAGACTGCGGTTACGAGGATTTGCTCATTATATAAGTTTATGAATATAATTAAGTGGGAATGTTTATAATTGGCAGAATGAGAGAACCCGAATGGAAGCAAAGAAGAAAACCGATGACGAGGATGTGAATGTGATCAGATTGATGAAAGAGAGGGATCAAAGCAACCTTGAAATTTCAGGATTGAAGCAAGAGTTGGATATAGCAAAAAAGACATATGACCTGCGTTGCTTGCAAATGGAAACGGAAGCGAAAGGTGCTAGAGCGGAGCTTGAAGAGAGGATAAAAGAACTCGAACGTCTCTTGGCAGAGTCAAGGAGTAAGGTGAAAGAGCTCCAGGCAAATTCTGAGTCAAAACATCAGTCTAATAGAGCAAAACTTGAAGAGAGAGTAAAAGAACTTGAACGTTCTTTGGCAGAATCAAGGAATAAAGTGAAAGAACTCGAGGCAAGTTCCGAGTCCAAATATCAGTTTTCTAAAGTAGAGCTTGAAGGGAGAATAAAAGAACTCGAACGCCTCTTGGCAGATTCAAGGAATGAGGCGAAGCAGCTTGCAACGAATTCAGAGTCAAAATATAAAAGTTGGAGCAAGAAACTGCGTGTTTACGAGAACTCTATGGACCTTCAACTTGGTTCACTAAAGGTATCTTTAGATCAAATTGTATTTTCAGCTTTAATGTATATGATGAATAGTACGCATTTCAAATCAATTTATGAAATATTCAGGAATTAAGATTATCTTCGGAGTCCATGAAGCGAGAAGTTTTGACAGCAGAACACAGTTACTCGGTGGACTTTAATCACTTAGGTAGGGTTGTCTATTTGAAGCATTCGTCTGTTTCGTGCAGTTTTTGCTAGAAGAGTTTCATGAGTTATAACTTTGTTTTCCAGGAGTGAAGCTTCAAGCATTAGCAGACGCGTCTGAGAACTATCATGCACTTCTCGCTGAAAACAGGAAGTTATTTAATGAAATTCAGGATTTAAGAGGTGCTACAAAATAAATTAGCGTTACTGTGGTTACATCTTGCTGAAAATATTAGAGTTCACTTCTTAACTTTCTTGCACAGGAAACATCAGAGTTTACTGTCGAATAAGACCATTTCTTCCTGGAGAAAAAGAAAAGAAGACGTTGGTAGAACGTATTGGTGAAAATGGGGAACTGGTAGTTGCAGACCGCTCCAAACCAGGAAAGGAGGGTCATCGATTGTTCAAGTTTAACGAGGTCTATGGTTCAGATGCAACTCAAGGTTCTCTATTTTGTGTTTTTAATGTCGGATAGATATTTTTCGATTCATCTGTTGATTCTCCTTGAACATGATTGTACAGTGACATACATTGCTATGCTGAACTTGAGCAATTTATTTAACTGTGGCAGCTGAAGTGTATGCTGACACACAACCGCTTATACGATCTGTGCTTGATGGATATAATGTATGTATTTTTGCTTATGGCCAAACTGGATCCGGGAAAACATACACGATGGTATGGAACATCTTTATATCCTTTTCAGCACAGACTGATAATTTGAAAAGATGCTGATTTGTTGATGTTTTATGTCCGTTGTTCCTCTCAGACTGGTCCTAATGGATCAACTAAAGAGAACTGGGGGATCAACTACCGTGCCTTGAATGACCTTTTCGACATATCTCAACGTAGACAAAGCACCATTACGTATGAAATTCAAGTCCAAATGGTTGAAATATACAACGAACAAGTGCGCGATTTGCTATCCAGCGATGGTGCTCAGAAGAAATATCCTTGTCGTTATGAAATGCGCTTCCTATTGTGTTGTCTGAGTGAATTTTGGTAACAGTCTTTTGTTTGCCTTGACTTGCACACACTTGGGATTATGACTCACTCTCAACCCAACGGGCTAGCTGTGCCAGATGCTAGCATGCACCCCGTGGAAGCAACCTCAGATGTAATAAGATTGATGGGAATCGGGTTTAAGAACAGAGCTGTTGGTGCCACTGCGTTAAACGAAAGAAGTAGTCGCTCTCATAGGTTTGTAAGTTTCATCTTCGTAAAACTTCATCTCATATATATCTACATGTTATACATTTTCTGGTGTGTTTGATATACGCGTGAATCTCTATGTACAGTGTTGTTACAGTTCATGTACGCGGGAAGGATTTGAAGACTGGTTCCGCGTTGATTGGTAACCTTCATCTTGTAGATCTCGCGGGAAGTGAAAGAGTAGACCGTTCGGAGGTAACAGGAGACAGGCTCAAGGAAGCACAACATATAAACAAATCATTGTCTTCACTCGGAGACGTCATATTTGCTCTCGCACAAAAGAGCCCTCATGTACCATACAGAAATAGCAAGCTCACTCAAGTCCTTCAAAGCTCTCTCGGTACTTCTTTCACTAGTTAGTTTCGCTGTGCGAAGTTCTGTAAGATATGTAGCAATGCTAGAATTTTTACGGTGTTTTACAACAGGTGGGCAAGCGAAAACGCTTATGTTTGTGCAGCTAAATCCGGATGCAAGTTCATTTTCTGAAAGTTTAAGTACTCTAAAGTTCGCTGAGAGGGTTGCCGGAGTTGAGTTGGGAGCTGCGAAAAGCAACAAAGAGGGCCGGGATGTAAGGGAATTAATGGAACAGGTTCTCATTACATATAACAAATACATATGCTTGGGAAAATATGTACAAATAATGTTCTACAAACAAGATGTTGTTTCTAAATTTCTCTTGCCTCTGCAGGTAGCATCTCTCAAAGACACGATTGCTAAGAAGGATGGCGAGATTGAGCGACTGCAATTACTTGATGGCCACAGTGAGAAGCGTGGGACGAGCTCATTTAGGTATGAATCTTCGCAGCCAAGCAGAGTTTCTAGAGGTGGAAAGTGAAACCAAACACCGTTAAGTGGCAGAATGAAGGCTTAGGGCTTAAGGCAGCTTCTGATCCTGAAAACTGTGTTCTTGTACAGTATCATAAGCTCCAAAAGTCCATGCAGGACATTAAACAACAAAATGATTTTCTTCGGCAATCATCAAAGGTTGCCGGAGGTGATGACATAGGTCAGAATAAACATGCAGATATGCTGAGTACTTGGCATCTGGAGATGCAGATTCTGAGGGGAAATTAAGTGACTTATCTGACGGTGGTCTTTCTACTGGAACAGAAACTGATGGCTCTGCTGACAGCGTGAATTATCCCGAAAGCATGAAATCCGATCCCTTGGAAAGGTGAGCATTACTTGCATTGAATCTAATGCGTTATCCAGACACACCAACGAGGCCTATATGTAATGGCATTGGTAATACCTGCTAATGACTCATATTCTGCAGGCCTAAAAGGATTAGCAGGATTCCGCGACCCTCGCTTAAACCAGGAACAACTTCTTCACCTTCGGCATCAGGATCAACGAGTGCTGTGAAGGTGCCATCAGGTGTGTGAAAATAGAGCTCTCTGCACCAATTATTACTTCAGTTTGCCTTCTACTTATCAGCAGTATTACGTCTCTCAACAATTCACAATCACTTTGTGCAGGTATGAGAAAAAGTAGCAGTTCTTCGTCGCTGAAGCCGGCTGCAAACAGTTGGAAATAATTAGAACTCAGTCACTACAAGAATTTCTCCTCTCATTTTTTTGATATACATGTACAGAGTTTTCTCAGTTGCAATTTTCTGAAAATTTTAACAGCTCCTACCCCTAGCTTTCTAATTACTCAAACTTTTTGTTGTGTGAGCTCTAATGCAATTATGTAATGTATACAATTAAACCAACGAGCCTTGTGTATAATCTTTATCCGAGACACAAATCTTATCATTAAATTAGTCAAATTAATCTTCGAAGCACAACTCATATCATTAAATTAGGTCATATTAATCTTTATCCAAAGCACAAATCTTCATTTAGAGCATCACATTTAAGCATTTCAAAGCCCGTTATATTGTTTCACTTTACAGCCATGTAATAGTGTAATTGTAAAGCGAAAACACCAATTGATAGAGTAACTATTTTCCACTTGCTATATTTTTCCGTATTTTACTAGGGTTAGAATACATGTTTAAGCCAATGCTCTCTTTGATAATTTTACATTATAACCACATACCTTCATCACTGCAAAATTTGTATTGTTCCACTTTGACTCCATCTACTGTTGCTTGTGCTAGCGCCACTTTTTCATAGATGTTTATAGATTCCTTAATTGCACTTTCCAGCAACGTAACTTCTCCCACAGTTATCTCACCCACGGCAAGCCCAGCCTTACTGATTTTTCAACGTAACCGGTAAACGGGGTGATATACCACTTGTCACTATACAAATGGTGGGATATGTGTGCTAAAATGTTAATAACTTAAAAAATAAAATTTCAGATCACTTCTATTAAAACATATGGTATACCATTTGTGTTCCTGTTACAATGAAAAATTTAACGCCCCACCTCAACACTAGTATTAGAACTTGTTCCAAATGCAAATCCCAAAGTTATAGAGATCGTATCCGAGGCTGAGATCGAATAAATTCAACCTCCGGGCTTAGAATTGTTAGACCTATCTAATTCCTTGAAGTTGACATATCTGCCATGGTTTGATCACAAGGATTGAACATTAGAAGACCCTCTTACCGTAAATCAATTTGAGAGCTAATTTCTTGAATTGCTTGTGGTCTCAGAATTCAAAGCATTGGCCTTGAAAGGGCTTCATCTTTTTTTTTTAATTACAATATTAGGGTTTAGGGTTTAGGGTTTAGGGTTTAGGGTTTAGGGTTTAGGGTTTAGGGTTTAGGGTTTAGGGTTTAGGGTTTAGGGTTTAGGGTTTAGGGTTTAGGGTTTAGGGTTTAGGGTTTAGGGTTTAGGGTTTAGGGTTTAGGGTTTAGGGTTTAGGGTTTAGGGTTTAGGGTTTAGGGTTTAGGGTTTAGGGTTTAGGGTTTAGGGTTTAGGGTTTAGGGTTTAGGGTTTAGGGTTTAGGGTTTAGGGTTTAGGGTTTAGGGTTTAGGGTTTAGGGTTTTTTCATATATATTGTAAGAAGATTGCTTTGTTGGCAAAGAGGGACTCTGTGGCCCAATGGATAAGGCGCTGGTCTACGAAACCAGAGATTCTGGGTTCGATCCCCAGCAGAGTCGTGTTGTTGTTTTTGAAATTTTTTTTTAATGAATACTGAAATTATTATATCCATTAAATGTTTTAGACTTTCCAGTTTAGTTTTGTACCCCAATGGTTGAGGCGCTGGTATGCGAACCCGGGGTTCCGGTTCGATTCACACAGTAGGCAGAGTTGCTATGATTTTTTAAACTTTTTTTCCTTTTTAAATGAGTAACAAAATTATACATTTTAGTATTTTATGGAATATTATTGTGTGCCATATCAATATATTTACAAATTTTGTTGATACCTTCGATAGTCCTATTCTAAATTATTCAAACGAGAGGAAGATATTTTGAACTCTAAACATTGTGGATTGATAAGAGTTTTATGATTTATTATTGATATTTTATAGCATTTAACCTCTCTTATTTTTATTGATAATTTTGTATGATTAATTACGATAGTGATCTTCATATTTAAATTTGTGTTTTCACTTTAGTTTTAACCTCAGTTTTAAATTTTATGACCCTTATAATTGGCATCATATATCCTGCTTCAGTCATTATGTCAAGTAAGCCTCTCCAAACCATACAACTGCTCGGCGAGCACATGCAAATGGTTCAAAGTTAACGTGAGTCACATAACACATTTGAGAAACTATAAATAGATAAACTGAATAAGTGAAATACATATAAGTTTAAAGACAAATATTGTAATTAATTATATTTTTAATTAATTCATGTTGGTTTTTTTTTTTTTTTATTTGAATAAAAAAGCTTGCTTTCATGTCTTAATTTCAAAGGTTGAATCTTTTCTTCCTGAAACATAAATGGTAGTTTAGTCAAAAAGGTCTTTAAGATTGACATAACTCATCAATTTGTCCTTGAAGTTTGAAATCAATAGAAATGATTTCTAAGTTTGTCCATCATTAATCATTTTCATCCTACTATGCAAAATATCTGTTAAATAATAATTGTTGGGGCCCAAAAATGTCACATGTAAACGCAATCAAGTAGGCCCAATTATTGTAAAACCCCGAGTCAAGCCTAAACACATATCAAGGTACGAAATCGAGAAGGGAAAACATTCACAATCATGCCATGCGATTAATATAATGATGAACGAACCAGACGTTTGTATAATCACACAACGCCATGCAAATCCATACACATTCATCATGCCATGTTATATCTTGCTAATTACCATTCATGCTAAAATATGTCCAATCCATATGTATGGGGCTTGCCAAGTGAATCATGGTGTGGATTGTTACGGAAGTTTGTCGGGCATACGCAGAGTCAAGATTATGGAAGACTTTGGGTTGCTTAGGAGCCTAAAGATCCAATCTACGTAGGTAAGTTTGAGAGAGAACAAACCTAGTTCCCTGTTTTCCCTAGCTAGACAACTAAGCCAATTAGAAAAGAACCAAACTCAATGCCTTAAAAATCACGTGAAAACCCAATACAGTTTGCATTTAATGAAAAGAGAGGCGTACTTTCCTTTCCTAGTTCACATAGAAGAACGATGAATGAATGTCATGAAACATGTTACTAGAATTAATGCATGTGGAAGTTGACCTAGGAAATGAGCTATTTGGAAAGAGAGCCCGATGCAGTCTTCATGAGAGCAATGGTGTTCATCTGTCTTACACTAAATGGGAAGGTCAGAGTTGTGCTAGGGGAAATGTGAGGGAAGATGTAGCTATAACTGGAGCTTTTCTAGGAAGCCTCAAAAGGGAACCATTCACCTACAAAAGAGGGGTCAGAGGTTTTGAATAGAGGAAGACATAACGTTAGAGAAAGAGAGAGAGAAAAAAAGATTCAAGGTTGTACTGCACCAAGCAAGGGAAATCGCTCTCTAAATGCAAATAGTCTTGAACCTTTGAGAGGATCACTTTCTTGCAACCTTAGTAGTTTCTTTAAGCTTCCTTCAATCTGCTCAGTCAAGGGGAGCCTTCTTAGAACCCTAGGAAACCCAAATCACCCAACTAAACACATCATGCAATCATGCGAAGTTCTCTATCGCACTAAACTGGTAAACTTCTAGCTTCCACACCACACCTCAGTCAATCAAGTTCTTATTTGCTTAATCATACTATCTTTGAGTCATTGATCCAACCGAGATATTTCCTAAGACCCGCTAATTCTTTCAAGATATTTCAGGACTTGGTACGAAAGCGAACCAAGGGAATGAAAAGGGTACTCGCAAGCCCAAGTCTAGCTCGGCTTAAAAATCCCTAACAATGTCCAAAATGCCCTCAATTTAATAAACAATGTGCCAAAGTAATTTGACAAAAATCAAGGGTATTTTTGTCATTTACAACTTATTTAATAGAGGTTACTTACAGAATGACAAAAATGATTGACGGTGGACAAATTCAGAGACAATTTCTATCGATTTTAAATCTCATGGACCAAAATGAGGAGTTAATGCAATCGCAAATATTATTTTTGGCTAAAAAGCCATGTATTGCAGCCCAGTAAATCATGTTCAAGCTGGGAAACATCGAACGAAATCAATCGTGTTTAATTGCAAGAAATTGGTGGTTCAAAATTCAATCTTTTAAGAGGTTTAAGAGATTTTTATGTCTTCATGAATTTACAATTTTTTCCCTTCATCTGATAAATTTTTCTGTCATGATTTGTGCGGTGTAGTTTATGACTTAGGTTATGAAACACCAATAATGTTACAAAAATTACACCTTAAGATACCAATAATCCAATTTAGATATAAAATTTAAAACCAATAATATAATTAGTCTCCCAACTTAATCATATATACAAATTGTATCATTGAAATCGAAAACGAAAAAGAAATGAAACACAAGTTTAATCAGGAAACATGACAATATGTTGTGTCCCTCGTTGAGTATTTTTAATCAGATCCCTATGCTGTTGATGAAGTTGATCGGTTGAGCAATGTTCTTCTTTTGCAGGCAAGGGACATCAGGAACATTACTTCATTAGAAGTTCCGCTACTTAAGTTGGAGCAAGAGGCACGGATCTCCTTCCCAGCAATTGCCGATGTGATAAGAAGTTCCATGAAAACCATTGTATGTCACATCGCTCACACTCACTGTCGAAGTCAGCAATTTTTTCAAAAAATGATAAGAACTTCGTTAATACAACTGATTTGTTTGAATTAAAAATCATTTTATTGAAATTAACATAAGAGCAATGTACTAACCTTATTCCATGACCTAGTCCACAACTAATTTTGGTGATATTGATAAAGGTTGATTTGGTCCACGACGTTTATTCAGATGTGTAACTTAAATGTTCACTTTTGATGTGCACATGAGCTTAACATTTTATGTAAGTGGGATATGTTGGCTAGTCCATGACCGGTCAAGCCCACGTGAGTCGGGTTG